GCGTACCAGTTGAGGTAAACATTGTTTACCGTAGCCGTTGGCATCTACTATCATGGTCATTGGGGAGTTGTTTGCCATCAGTAATCCACTTGCATTCATATCTCTATGTGATATACTTTTGGTCAACTGAATTGAATAGTGAATTATGATACACTCAACCAGCCTCAAGCAGCTTTGAATTCAGTTAACAAATCTAATAGGCAGTGTCAGAATAAGTCTTCGGCTGTCATGGAAAAATCATTATATAAATGAAAAGATGAGCATTTAGTTGAAGGTGTGTTATTATCCCCCTGGCATCTCCTTTTGCCCTTCATTTTTCTAATTATGAATATTTACTTTGTTTTCTGATATAATATCCTCGCAGATGATGCAAATGCAAGGAAGAAAAGAAAGAGGGAGTCTGATTAGCGTGTACATACAAATGTGAAAAAGATATAACTGAAGGCGCAATAAATTTGGATGACTTTCAGAACCCTAGTGGGGATCTTGGTAGGGTTGGCTACAGTACGTCTTCTGGTTTGCCAGATTTGAAGGATAAGAAAAAACTTAGGGTACTTGATTCAAGACTGGAGGGAGAGAGAAGTTACAAATTTCTAGGAAAGAATGGAAAGATAATATGTAGGAATCACCGGATAATGGGTCCCTGGATATGATTACATGCAATAAGAGGAAAATTTCTTGGAGGAAGAGAAAATTGAAGGATTCTCTAGGTAGTCAGGATTATCAACTGACACTACAAAGTAAAAGTGACCTTCAAAATAGCATGCTATCTGTAAAGGAGGTGAGCAGCAATAGTGGATTTCATAGAGAGAAGTCCAGGATATCTTAGATTGAGGGGGAGGAGTTCAGAAAAAATAAGGATATAGATGTACCAATAAGACAAAGTACAGCAAATAAGATTCTATTATCTGGGATAAAAAAAATCCATTTGACGGGATAAAAAAAATCCATTTGACAGGATTATTGACAAAGAATGTCAGACAAGGAAATACATAGCAAAGCTTTCAGTGTGGCTAACCATGGATGATATAGAATCACTATAGAAGGATTTGGGGTCTAAACTGTTATCAGTGGCTACCACTTCTAGCTCCTCTAAGGTTTTGGATTCCCATAAAGGCAGATGCAATTGCAAAGAAGTCAAAGGATCACCTGAAGAGTCTGTTTCCTCGTCTCCCATGGAGATGTCTTATCTGAATAAGGTCTGACCAGCTAGGATGGAGACTATCGATAAAGTACACTCTAGGCTTAATGACTTTCCCACAATGGAAAGCCCAAGGAACACTCTGGATAGGAATGGAAATTCGGAGAGCAGTTGCTTGGGGACAGCCAGGAAGGGAAAATCCACCGGTTGTCTTCCTGAGTCTTTTGAACATCCTGTCCTAGATTTTCGAGACATTGTCTCTAGAGACATTCTGTGGAAAATCTGAATCAGGTACTAATCCTTCTGAACATGGCAATGGCTCTTTTATTGGTAGTGATGGTGATTTAATGGAACAACATAGCTTATGTACCACTAGTGTCCATCTTTCAGAACAAACCCATAGCAAGGAAAGGATGAACAAGAACTGTTCTAGAAGGGGTACCTCTTTGCCGCCCATGGATAACGATAGAACGTCTGGTGTTAGTTTTGAGGGAGTGGCAGAGTGGGTTTCCAATCCATAGATTGACCTGGAACGCTTGGATACATATAGAAATTTGAAAGCAGAGGCAGTTATTGATAACGACATTAAGGAGATTGTTGTGAAGTATGTGCTAATTTAGGAATGAACTTGAAGTATGGTAGGAATAAAAAATCTAGAATTATTTCCTTATTGGAGAGGATTATTTTCTTTTGAGAAATATCCTCTTCATGTATATATATGTGTGTACCCATTGGTGAATATGAATGAGAAATTGAGGCTTTTTTCCAAACCAACTAACATGGTATCAGAGCATGGTCCTAATTCCCAACCCATTTAATCTCTCTTCTCTTGCCCAAACTTCCTTCTCAGTTACCTACGCTGTTTGGCCTTGTTTTGACGTGTCTGTCAACGTTTCTTAGTCGAGCGAGAGAGCCATTTCTTGGTGAGCGTGGACGTCGACCATTTTTATACCTTTTTTCCTGGTGGGCTTGCAGATTTTGGCCGACTTTGTGGTTCTGGTGACACGGTTTTGGTTGGGTTCAGTGTTCAGTGATATGGGACACGATTTTGGCTTCTAGATGGTACGTTGGACGGAAAGAATTCTGGTCGGACTTCACTGCACTTTGGGTTCTGCATTACTGGCTTTCTTTTGTTTGGTCAGTTTGTTTCACGCTTTGGATTTAATTGGGCCCTGCCTCACGGGGTCAATTTAATTGGGCTTCTATATTCTAGTTGTTGGGTTGTATTATTTAATTGAACCTCTTTAGAACTTGAATTTTTTTTTTTTGTGGGTTCTTTATATCTTTGGGCTCTCATTTTTGTCTTTTAGTTAATCATGGCTAAAAATGATAAAAAGAGGTTAATGAAATCACATTAAACCCATCCTCAAAAATAACAGATAGAAAGCTAACGGGTAGCAGAAATTATGCCCAATGGAAGAGAACTGTTTGTAGGTATGTGTCAAGTGTGGATTTGGGTGATCACTTGGCCAATGAACCACTTCCAAAATCTGACATTAATCCGGAGGTTTAAAAAAATGGTTGATGGAGGATGATAAACTTTTTAATCAAATTCAAAATGCCCTTGACCCGACAGTTGACGATGTCATTAATCATTGTGATACTGTAAAAGAATTATGAAACTTTCTAGAATTTTTATATGTGAGTAAACAAGATGTATCGCATGTTCATGAATTGATGTTAAAGATTTATCGGGCTGAGCAAAAGGGGCGAAATCTATTTCAATATTATACTGAGGTAAAACAGGCATTTGAAGAAAAATGGGCCATGTTTCCTATTATTAGTGATGTGAAGATAATGTATGAACAAGAAGAACAGGTTGTGGTCCAGTGTTTTCTTGCAGGTTTGGGTCCTGAATATAAGGTGTTGTGTACTCAGTTACTCACCAGTGAGACACTACCTTTATTGAGTGATATATATGCTCGTCTCCTTTGGGTATGTAAGGACAATGACAAAGAACAGTGTGACACCAAATGAAACGGTAACTCTAGTTGGCACAAATTCAAAGATAAATAACAGTTACAGTATAAAAGGAAGAGGAGGTGGGGGAGGCAGTAGAGATAGAATCTCTGGTGGTGGTTCTCATGGTTGTTATTATTGTGGAGAGCAAGGACATGTAAGAAGGAACTGTTAGAAATTAAATAGCAAACCAGCAAAGTACACAATTCTGACCCCTATGAGGAAATTTGCCAATATTGCTACTCAGGATGGTCTTCTACCTACACCCATTACGCCTCCATCTCAACATCAAATTACAATTCCAGTAGACGAATACGCTCTTCTTATACAATTTTATGCTTCTTAACAATCCACTACTCAATAGCTTGTTACACCTTCCACTTCCACTCTAGCCAACAAAGGTAATTCTATAGCGTGTCTTTCTACTTCGTCTCGCAATTGGGTCATTAATTCAAGTGCCACAGATCATATGATTGGCAGTACAGGTATACTTTCATCATTTCAGTATTCGTCCAATTTACCATGTGTCACTTTAGCTAACGGATCTACAACCCCTGTAGTCAGATGTGGGACATCACATCCGACAGACTCTCTACCATTATCATCTGTCTTATGTTTACCTCAGTTTCCTTTTCATCTTTTAGCTGTGAGTCAAATTACTAAATATCTTAATTGTAGTGTTCTTTTCTTTCCTAACCAATGCATTTTTCAGGATCTTGGGATGAAGCAGATTATTGGTAGAGGGCGTGAGTTTAATGGCTTGTATGTGCTCGACTCTTCTCCCACACATGTGCCAAGACCTACTACATGCACAATTACCTCTTTTTTTCTACAGCTCCATTATCGCTTTGGTCATCCTTCTCTTCCTGTCTTGAAGCAATTATGTCCTAATCTTAGTCAAGTGTCTCAGTTAGATTGTGAGTCGTGTCAATTAGCAAAGCATCATAGGGTACCATATTTATCTAGAATGAATAAATGGGCTGCATCTACTTTTGATGTAATACATTCTGATATTTGGCGACCTTATCCGATTTTATCTAAAATCGATTTTCATTATTTTGTTACCTTTGTGGATAATTATTCTCGAGTTACTTGGTCATATTTTATGAAAAATCGCTCAGAACTATTTTCAATTTTTTGCAACTTCTATGCTGAGATTAAAACTCAATTTGATAAATCTATTGCATCCTAAGGAGTGATAATGCCAAGGAATATTTCTCATCCACATTTACTTCTTTTCTATCTCAAAATGGTATTCTTCATCAATCTTCTTGTATCGTTACTCCACAACAAAATGAGTGGCAGAAAGGAAAAATCATCATTTATTGGAAGTTACACGAGATCTTTTCTTTCATATGAACGTCTCAAAATAGTTTTAGGCAGATGCAGTCTCTACTGCATGTTACTTAATCAATCGTATGCCTTCCTCTGTTTTAGATGGTAAAATCCCTTATTCAATTCTATTTCCCTCTCAAACTTTATTCTCTCTTGCCCCTAGAGTGTTTGGGTGTACTTGCTTTGTTCAAGACATGAGACCTCAAATTTCCAAACTTGATCCCCGATAAGCAGTTGAAGAGAATGGGAATATTGTGCTTGGGGATTTTATGGCACCATTGGTGGTGCAAAGTCAATCTAGCATCATATACCCTCCATTTGGGCAGCCAAATTTCCAACTGAAGACGAATGTAATTCAGCTATTTCAGAACGGGCATCAATACCACGGGATGGCCAGTGAAAACCCTCATACGCACATATCCCGCTTTCTGGATATGTGCCAACACTTCAGATACCAAGGCATCTCTGATGATGCTATAATGCTACGGCTATTGCCACACACCTTGCGGATAAGGCACTTGAATGGCTGGATTCACTCCCTGTCTCGCCAGCAAAGGTAGCAAAAATGAGGCACGACATCTCAATATTCAACCAAGTCGAGTCAGAGTCATTTGAAGAGGCATGGAACCGCTTCAAAAACATGTTGAGAAAGTGCCCACAACATGGCTTCGACAAAAAGACCCAGATCAGATTTTTCTACACTGGATTACTCCCATCCTTCAAGAATATGGTGGATGCATCATCCGACGGGTCTATCTCAACAAGAACGATCGATGGAGCATGGGATCTGTTTGAGAGGATGGCCACAACTTCAGCTATGTGGTCCATGGATCGAGTGGTTCAGAAAAGAGAACCTGGGGTGTATGAAGTAGACACTTACTCAGCACTGTCGGCGAAAATAGATTCTTTATTCAATAAGGTTGAAAGTATTTCTCAAACTACTACTGCTAAACAAGTAATGAAGTAGAGTTGGGAGGAATGTGGAGCAGACCACAGCACTGCTACTTGTCCAATTCTCGCTCAGGGGGTCGAACATGCAGATTTTGTACAATGGGGTCAACGCCAACAGAACAACCCACATTCAGAAACCTTCAATCCAGGCTGGAGAAAACACCCAAATTTCTCGTGGGCTAATCAGAATCAGAACAGACCACAAGGGCAATATCAGCAGCAAGACAAAAAGCCCCCGTTGGAAGATATGTTCGAGAAATTTATGGCACAAACAAATCAGTATATGGAAGCCAATAACCAATTTATGCGAAGGACGGAAACAACACTTCAAGATCAAAATGCGGCGATCAAGAACTTGGAGACACAAGTGGGACAGATGGCAGTCTCCATGATGGGTAGAGCACCGGGTAACTTACCTAGCAATACTGAAATTAACCCTAAGGAGTATGCAAAGGCAATAACAACCAGAAGTGGAGTACAACTGCCAGAGATACATGTGAAAAGATCGACAGTCAGTAAGGAGTCATCACAAACCTTAGATGAAGAGGTAGGAGAACATTCTGAAAATCCCATAGAAGATGAAGTGAAGAAGAGTTACAATGTATCACAGAGTGGTGCAACTATCAGACCGGTTAATCCTCATGAGCCACCTATTCCATTCCCGCAAAGATTAAGAAAGCATAAACTGGATCAGTAGTATAATAAGTTTCTTGAAGTTTTCAAGAAACTACACATCAACATTCCGTTTGCTGAAGCGCTGGTCCAGATGCCGAGCTACGCAAAATTTCTGAAGGATATTCTCTCCAACAAGCAAAAGATCGAAGAAAATGAAACAGTAATGTTGACTGAGGAATGCAGCGCCAGAATCCAGAGAAAGCTACCTCCAAAATTGAAAGGTCCAAGGAGTTTTACTGTACCCTACACTATTGGAGACTGTCATTTTGATAAAGCTTTGTGTGACTTGGGTGCAAGTATTAATCTAATGCCTCTCTCTGTTTTCAGGAAACTTGGCTTGGGAGAAGCTAAAGCTACTACAGTTACGTTACAATTGGCTGATCGATCCCTTACACATCCAAGAGAAATCATTGAAGACGTGCTGGTAAAAGTGGAAAAATTCATATTCCCAGCTGATTTTCTCATTTTGGATATGGAAGAAGACAAGGATGTCTCTCTCATCTTGGGACGACCTTTCCTAGCTACGGGAAGAGCGATAGTCAATGTCCAGAAAGGGCAGCTGATATTAAGGCTTGGTGATGAGCAAATATCCTTCAACGTATTCAAGGCAATGAAATTCCCAACTGAGTCAGATAGCTGCTTCTAGATTGATGTAATAGATAGAATAGTCCAAGACACATTTCAGCTACATCATCCTTCCGATGCATATGAGGCATGTATTGCACATTCACAATCAATTCACTCTGATTCCAGTGACATTGAAACATGTGCTCGGTTTATGGAAAGTAACCAGCCATATATGCGCAGACGCTACTATGAAGAACTGGGAACAAGGGCTACAAATTCAGTCCCATCTGTTGTGAAACCTCCCAAATTGGAACTCAAACAACTTCCACCACACCTGCGATATGCGTAACTGGGAGAATCTTCTACACTGCTGGTCATTATTTCAAGTGTTGTCAATGAGTTGGAGGAAGAAAAATTACTTCGGGTACTAAGGAAGAATAAAACAGCCATGGGATGGTCAATTGCAGATATCAAGGGGATCAGCCCGTCCATATGCATGCAAAAAATATTCGTGGAGGAACAGTTTAAACCAAGCATCGACGGTCAACGGAGATTGAATCCACACATGAAGGAAGTGGTTAGGGCTGAGGTGTTGAAGTTACTCGACGCAGGCATCATATACCCAATATCAGATAGTGCATGGATTAGCGCAGTGCAAGTGGTTCCAAAGAAAGGAGGTGTTACGGTGATAGAAAATTAGAAAAATGAATTGATTCCTACACGGACAGTGACGGGGTGGAGAGTTTGCATTGTTTACCGTAAACTAAACACAGCTACGCGAAATGATCACTTCCCACTACCGTTCATCGATCAGATGCTAGAGAGATTAGTCGGGCACTCGCATTACTGTTTTCTGGATGGATATTTCGGATATAATCAGATTCCAGTGGCCCCAGACGATCAGGAGAAGATGACCTTCACTTGCCCTTATGGCACTTTTGCATACCGTAGGATGCCATTTGGATTATGCAATGCTCCTGCAACTTTTTAGCTCTGCATGATGGCTATTTTCTCATATATGATTGAAAAGTTCATTGAGGTCTTCATGGACGACTTCTCGGTATTCGGATCTTCTTTTGACGAGTGCTTGGATTGTTTGAGTCTTGTACTACAAAGGTGCACGGAGACCAACCTGGTGTTGAATTGGGAGAAATGCCACTTTATGGTACAAGAAGGCATCGTGTTAGGGCATCAAATCTCAACGAATGGCATCGAAGTGGACAGAGCAAAGATTCAAGTAATCGAGAAACTACCACCACCTACCTCAGTTAAAGGTGTGCGTAGTTTTCTTGGACATGCAGGGTTCTATAGAAGATTCATCAAGGATTTCTCGAAGATTACCAAACCGTTGTGCTGTTTATTGATGAAGGAATCTGCATTTGAGTTCACAGACGAATGTTTGCAGGCTTTCAATGCCTTGAAAGAGAAGTTGACTTTAGCACCCGTGATAATCACACCAGATTGGAACCTGCCGTTTGAATTGATGTATGATGCAAGTGATTTTGCTGTGGGAGCCGTATTGGGTCAGTGAAGGAATAGAATATTTCATGTGATCTACTATGCAAGTAAGACCTTGAACGACGCTCAACTCAATTATGCTACTACGGAGAAAGAACTTCTTGCTGTAGTCTACGCCTTTGACAAGTTTCGATCATACCTTGTGGGTTCAAAGGTCGTCGTCTACACCGATCATGCCGCCATCAAATACTTAATGGACAAGAAGGATGCTAAGCCACGTCTCATCTGTTGGATACTATTACTGCAAGAGTTTGACTTGAAAATCAGAGATAAGAAAGGCAGTGAAAACGTGGTAGCCGACCACCTGTCTCGGCTAGAGAACGCAGAACAGATAGAGAAGGTGGAAATAAATGAAATCTTCCCAGACGAGTAAATTTTTGGTGTGATAGAGGCACCCTGGTATGCCGACATAGTGAACTATTTAGCCAAGTCTATCATACCACTTGACTATACAAGCCACCAAAAGAAGAAATTTTTCGCCGAACTGAAGTATTACTTTTGGGAAGACCCCATCTATACAGGCGGGGAGCTGATCAAATCATTCGTCATTGTGTACCAGAAGAAGAAATGCCGTTGATAGTGGAACACTGTCATTCATCTACATATGCCGAACATTTTGGTGCATCGAAAACGGCAGGGAAAATCCTACAATCAGGTTTTTATTGGCCTACACTGTTTAAGGATGCCTTTGAATTTGTGAAAAGGTGTGACAGATGTCAATGTACGGGCAATATATCCAGAAGAAATGAAATGCCCTTGAATAATATCTTAGAGGTGGAGCTGTTCTACGTGTGGAGGATTGACTTCATGGGACCGTTTTCCCCATCCTTCTCGAATCAATACATATTGGTAGCAGTGGATTATGTGTCAAAATGGGTAGAGGCTGTTGCTTTGGCTACTAACGATGGGAAGGTGGTAACTGAGTTTTTGAAGAAAAATATTTTTACCCGATTTGGAACACCGAGAGCTATAATTAGCGACGGGGGAAAACATTTTTGCAAACGTCAGTTTGAGCAGTTGTTGGCTAAGTATGGGGTTAAACATCTTATAGCCACTGCATATCACCCACAGACTAGCGGACAAGTCGAAGTATCCAATAGACAGCTGAAGCGAATACTCAAAGTCACAGTGAGCTCATCACGAAAGGATTGGTCTAAGAAACTAGACGATGCCTTGTGGGCCTACAGGACTGCATTCAAGACACCAATAGGGATGTCATCGTATAGATTGGTTTTCGGGAAGGCGTGCCATTTACCTCTTGAGATAGAACATCATGCTTACTGGGCGATGAAGAGATTGAATGTGGATTTGAAGGCTGCGAGGGAAAAATGGCTGTTACAACTGAATGAACTGGATGAGCTCAGAATGGAAGCATACGAGAATTCAAAGATCTATAAAGAGCGCACCAAGAAGTGGCATGACATGCACATTCAGAGGTGCGAATTTGTGGTGGGGCAAAAAGTGCTACTCTACAACTCCAGGCTTAAGCTGTTCCCAGGAAAGTTGAGATCAAGATGGTCTGGCCCATATACAATTACACAAGTGTTTCCACATGGGGCAGTTGAGATCTCTCACGATAGCAAAGGGACATTCAAGGTTAATGGACAACGGTTAAAGCACTATTGGGGCGGTGATTTCTCAAAGGACAAGTCCACCATCCAGCTCGGAGTACCAGAATGATTCAAGGCGGTAAAATCAAGCTATCGACTATAACCTAGTGCTGGGTGGGAGGCAACCCACTATATCCTTTTAATTTTTTTTATTGCTTTCATTTTTAGTATTTAGTTAAATTTCATATAGCTTACTAGGTCATCAATCATTCCAGCATAATAGCCTAGGCACTACATGCAAATTGATGCATTTGATCAGAGTCAAATAAGGAGTTTGGTTGTTTGAGTGTGTGATCGCGCATTCCGAGGTACAAAGATGATCGTTTTGTTTTTAGATCGGACGCGAGTCGAGTCAATTTGGGGGACGTAAAATTTTTCTACTTTTCTTTTTTTTTATTTTTTATTTATTTATTTAGGTTATGTCATTTAAAAAAAATTTATTTTTGTCCATGCGGCTGCATGGGCAAAGGGTCCATGCGGCCGCATGGACCCTTACCAAAAGTGAGGGGCAGGAATATTTTATACCATGCGGCTGCACGGATTAACACCATGCGGCCGCATGGCGTCCAGTGATGGGTTTTAACCCGTCACTTAGCAATTTTTTTTACCATTTCTTCCCACCCCCACAGCAGCACACGAGCACGAATTCTCCCTCGAGTTCTCATCTCCAATTGCTTCATTTAATCACTCACACACTCAATCTCACTCACACACTCTATCTCACTCAGGCACACATCGTCACGGTTAAAGGACTCTCATTGGTGCCATATATTTCATCTCCTTACCCAAGCCGATTTCAAGGTATTTCTTCTTCTTCGTAGTGTTTGATTCGTATTGATCTTGGCTTTGGTTTGTTTACTGATTGCATTGTGGTTGTGTAAATTGCCTTAATTTGTATATGGGAGTTTATTGGACATGTTTTTATGCCTTTCAATTGAAAATTTCAATTGCTCGCAACATGTTCGATCAAATTCCCATGAGAAGTATTTATGCAATTTTTGGACTTTCCACTTATGGTTCGTATTCCTTCATGCTTACATAGACTTAGTGACGGCAAAATTTTGTGGACATTCATTCGCATTCCATAATTACACTTATTGCTACACTTGCACACTTAATTGCTTTGCCATGCCAGGTTACGTCCCATACTTCGGCCCCTTGTTTTTCTAGCTCAATGAATCCCGATTGTAGTGCATTTTGAATATGTGATAGCTTGCCATGAATACTTTCATATGCCCAAACTTTGTCCAGGGGAACTTTGTTCTTTTTAGTTGATTCTCGAGGGTGAACAGCATCACTTGGTCATGGGACGATAGTGCCTTTCTTT